GTATGAATGTATGTGTGTGTGTCTGTGTCTATATATGTTTCTTGTGTTTTTTCTTTGGTTCTTTTTTCTTCTGTTTATTTTGTCCTATTTGGTTTGTTTTTGTTTTATCTTTTATTTCATTTTATTTTTTATTTTTTCATTTTATTATTATTCTTTATATGCCTGTTTGTTTTCTAAGGAGAGACAGAAAGGGTCTGGATTTTGGTGGGAGGGGAAGTGGGGAGGAAGATCTCAGAGGAGTTGAGGGAGGGGAAAAGGTAATCAAGATATATTGTACAAAAAAATCTATTTACAATAAAAGAAAAATAGAGAAAAACAGAAAAATATAATGAACAAATTATAGCTCATCTATAATTGCTGAAAATCTGTAAAAAATCAATAAAATCCTATGTATATACAAACCAAGAAGATTTACTCAAGAATAATTTAAAAATATACGATTACTTGAGCCGGGCGGTGGTCGCGCACGCCTTTAATCCCAGCACTCGGGAGGCAGAGCCAGGCGGATCTCTGTGAGTTCGAGGCCAGCCTGGGCTACCAAGTGAGTTCCAGGAGAGGCGCAAAGCTACACAGAGAAACCCAGTCTCGAAAAACCAAAAAAAAAAAAAAAATACGATTACTAATAATGAGATTAAAGCAGTGTTTTAAATTATATCATCAAAGGAAAATCCAGAAATGGTAGTCACACTGTTGAATTCTACAAAAAAAAAATAAGAATAATTAATACATTTAATACATCTCCTCTTAAACTGTGGCAAAAACAAAACAAAACAAAAAAACATGTAAAGGAAGTGACTCAAAACCAAAGTAAGGCCAGCAATACCCACATACCCAAATCAGAAAAGCAACCAATAGATAAGGAAAAATACAAGTCAGTGTGTGTGTGTGTGTGTGTGTGTGTGTGTGTGTGTGTGTGTGTGTTGTTGCACACGTGTGCCTCCAAAACCTTTCATCAAAATACTAGTATGTCATTTCCAGAAGAATACTAAAAGGATCTGTTGTTATAATGTAGTAGGATTCATCCTATAGGTGTGAGTGCAGTTTAACATACTTAATTCAATAAACAAAATAGGTCAAATTGACAAAGTGAAGGAAAAAGGAGTTCTCAATAGATGCAAAATAGACTTTCAGCAACTCAATATCTATCTCCATGACAACGATACAACAAATCAGAGAAGGAAAAAGCATCAACATCATAAGGGGAGTGTAAAGAAACCAACCATCAATATTATACCAAATAGGGGGAAAGATAAAAGAATTTCTTTTAAGATAGTAACAAATCCAGGGTACTTATTTTATCACAACCATTTGACACAGTACCAGAATTCCCAGACAAATTTGTCACAGTTCAGGTTCATGCAGATTGACGCAATGCCTCTCAAAATTTTAATTATTTTTTTAGGACAAATAGTATTCTCTTTTGTGTACATACACCATATAATCTTTAGAATTTCCTCTAGTGATGAACAATTTGATTTCATGTTTGGCTAATTGTTCACAATGTTGAATAAGTGAGGGAGTGCAGATGTCCAACAGTACTAACTTGGAAGTAGTCTTATATAGGGAAAATCCTAAAGACGATCTAAGAATCTGTAAGAACTAATGAACATTTACTGCTAAAGTTAAAAGATACAAAAACCAATATATGTAAATAGTTTTCCATGTGTCAATGACAAACATTTTGCAAACTAAACCATGAACTCATTGCCATTTATAATAACTACAGAGCCAGTAAGATGCCTTATGTGTTTAGTTCCAGCACTTAAAAGGCTGAGGTATAAGAAGTGCTGTAAGTTTAAGGCCAGACTGAACTACATAGTGAGTTCCAGGCAGCCAAGAATAGACTCACAAGAGTGAGACCTTGTCTGAAAAAAAAAAAGGCTACAAAAAGTGCTTAGAAATAGCTTTATCAAAGAAATGAAAGATTTCTATAATGAAAATAATAAAACATTGAGGGAATAAAATTGAAGATGATACAAATAGAAAATATCCCCTGAGCATGGATTAGTAGAGTTAATTTCACTAAAGACATTAAATGAGAGAACACATGCAAAGAAAGGAAAATAATATATTAGAGTTTTAAAAAGTTATTCTCATACATGTAAAAAATAAAAATACACTTACCAGTGACTGGTAAGAACTGGAGGTTTTAAAGGACCAGGAGAGTGGTGTCAATGTGTCCAAAGCTTCAGTTAGGTAGAATAAGTCTTGATGCACAGGGTTGGGGATTTAGCTCAGTTGTAGAGCGCTTGTCTAGCAAGCACAAGGCCCTGGGTTCCGTCCTCAGCTCCAGGGAAAAAAAAGTCTTGATGCTTTCTTATATAGTACCATGACTTCAGTTAGCAATAATGAACCATACCCAAAATAAATAGGAAAGACTTTAAATGTTCTTGCTCCCAAAGAAATGAAAAATATTTAAGGTGATAGATATGAGAATTAACCCAATGTGACGCGCAAGTATCATAACAGTACAGTGTGTCCCTTAAACATGTCCAGTTACATTCATTAAAAGCAGAACAAAAAATCCAAAAAAGGAGAGAAAACTAAAATGTATTTTTCAAAGAATTAGGAAAATATTAATAAAAATCATATAAAACTACCTAAGAAAGACCACAACTAACCAAAGCAGTTAGTTACAGTGAAACAGGTTTAATGTATTTTTGGTTATTTACTCTTACTTTGGGGGCCTCTTAGTTTGTTAAGTATTTATGTGTGAGAATTATTGTTAATATTGTATGACATCACCTACATAAAATTGTCTGGTGTGTGTACACACTCACAGCATATAAGTCAAACTACAAGCTATTTGTGATTCTTCACCTTTTGTTTTGCTTTTTGTATTCTTCCAAGTTAACATAAAGTTAAAAAATAATAAATTTTATTCAAAAACATTCCATTCCTCCTTCATTCATGGTTTAGTAGGAAAGGTGTATATATTAACAAACTAAAGTTTTTTTTGTTGTTTTTGTGTGTGTGTGTTTGTGTAGTCTCAGGCTTTGTTAGCATAGATTGGGGTGGTTATGCTCACTACCCACTGTAAAGCCCAGGGCTTAGGGTAATTGCCTTGCTTCCTCACACCTGCTGAACTTGGTTGCAACATTTGAGTACAAATACCAGATTACATATACCTTAATCTCATATGTGTGGAACTTGGGCCCTTTATGATGTGGTACTGCATTCAGCCTTTCCTCAAAAGTTACAACTACAAAGAAAGAAGCATTGTGACAGGTCACAAAGTGATAGTTTTGCTGAACAGCTTTCTCTCTGTCTACCATCAGGAATGAAAGAGAAGTCAATCCCTATTTGCAAAAGACATTTATTAGTCTTATGAACACTCTTTGGCCTGTGGATGACTTTCTTTAATTAAATTAAAATACCATTTCTCTGTGGGTGCAGTGCTAATTTTTTGAATTTCAACATTGATTTTTTATTGCCTCTTTCAAAGCAAGATGAATATGTGGTATGTGTGTGTGTTGTTTCTATGACAACATTCTTTCCAAAAATCTATAAAATTCAGCAAGAAAGAAAACTAGTGAATTTGTTTAATTGGTTAGAAGGTCACAAAATCTTTCTTATAAATGAAATATGAAAATTCCAGGTAAAATTTAAATAAAAATTAAGTACTATAGCACTACATTAAAAAATTACCATAAAACAGAAAGAGTGAATTATATACTTAATAAAATACATAGACATCAAATTTTATCTAACAGAAGCTCATGATTTTGTTATTTTTCATATTAGTGTTGTTAATTACATATTTTATAACTGAAATATTAGATTATATCATCATGTGCATAAGAATGAGATATTAAATCAAAGTCAAAACTCTTTCATGTTTAACAATAACAATAAAATAATATTTGATTAAAGTGTTTAATGGTATTATACTTTCAGAATTTTCTATTATATTTAATGATTGTAACTCTTTTAAGCAGTTAAAAAATAGCCAATAAACATGTGTATGCATTTGAACTAAATACAAAGTTACTATAACATTTTCCTGTACATCTGCTCACTATAATGTATGTTTACATATTAATGTGCAAGACAAATTTGTAAACATGAACATTTGAAACTTTGAAAGGAAATGATACTCATCTTTCAACTCTCGAAATTTTATTGAAACAACATGTCAAATTTGGCCACCCCACACGTGTAAGTAGTTTTAATATGGGTATATTTCAAATGTTCTATGTTATCTGTTCATTCTCTTTTATGTTGCCATCCAAGCCATGTTTATTTATATAGTTTTAATACAAAATATTATTTAATTGCAGATCAAATCAAAGGAGATTAAATGTACACCACCATGGTTATATCAAAGAAACTACCACCAGTGCCCAAGCTGTCTATACATTAGGTTTGTTTTAATTGCTCCAATAGGCATGCTAAATTCTAGTGAAATCAACTGATGAACTGTTGCTGTATACTAGAAATTATTGATTGTTATTTTGGCTGTCTGAATATTTTTTACCACAAAGTCAACGTATCTTTAAATTGGAATAAAAAAATTGTACTTCACCCTGTCAACTCAATTATCAAAGTACAGCATATGTACTTAGACATTACTAAATATATTTAAATATGTATCTCCACATAAGTATACATAATTAATAGTGTATGTCAGTATCCAATGAGTAGATTTTCTATATAGAATCTCTCTTTAGGAGAGGGAGAAGAAACACAGTGTAAATCATTTAAAAAGAAATCTAAATATCCCATTGGAGATTACACACATACACACACATGCATTGTGTGCATATATACACATATTAGAGTGACATCTTTAATTTATAAAATTACATACATATAAAAAACTTGTTAGTGAGATTAAATAAGGAGACAAAAATGTAAAAAATGTCCCACTTTATACACACACACACACACACACACACACACACACACACACACACACACACACACACATATTTATATATATATACATTCTATTACTTGAAACATACTAAATTTATTGTTAGCATGCATATAAACTTTTGCAAAATATATTTTAGTATTTAAACAGCACATTTATTTCAGCTACATTCTGGCTACCTTTGTACTTGCTTTGTGTGCCTTAATTTTCCCCAAGGTGCAAAATAGAAACGGTTAGGAGAACTTAAGGAAAATCTTTCATACTGTCCAGTGCAGATGCTTCTCTTTGCGCATTGTTGGCACCCTTGTCATGTTGTCAGCACATAAGATGCAGATGCTTCAAAGACTCATTCATTATTCACTGAGTCATCACTTGCCGAGACTAATAGTTCATTTCTTTTCCTGCCACAGACATACTTCAGCCTCACAGAAGAATGAAATCATGTCCATTCCCAGACCATATGGAGAACTCATGCCTGAAAGCAGTGTGAAACATCTCTCCACAGCTTGGGAGTTTTGAAGAAGCCTCTTCATTTTCAAAGCACACTAAATAGAAGCAAATGGCATTAGTTAATTTGAAGATTCTAAAAGTATGTAACCTAAAATGCTATAAAGTTAAAGTTATAATTTGGTCTTCCAAAATATAATATCCACAAAGTTTAGGCACCCAACAGTGAAAAGAAATATTAAAGATATTGATGTTCTAAAAATCATGTTACCTAAAGTCATACTAATATTTAAAATGTAATAAGGAATGTAATATAGCAATCTGTCCACTTAGAACTTCAACCAAGCTCAACTTTTGTCATTGATTTCAGCTTGTCTATTCCACAAAATACTTTCCTGTCCAGGGAATCTGACTACAGGTCTAAGCTTGACTGAGAACTATACAAGGATAAAGTTATCAGTCACTTATTTCCTGACTCAATGTGCAAATTTTACAAAATTGATGCAAGGTTTATTTTCTCTAGCCTTATCTGGGAAAGTTACTTACCAGGTCAGTTTAAGAATCAGATATATAAATGCAGTCTGTTGTTTTCTTTTTAAAAGAAGAGGTGTGTGTGTGTGTGTGTGTGTGTGTGTGTGTGTGTGTGTGTGTGTGTGTGTGTGTGTATACGTATGTATCTTCACACCAGGTGGAAATAGAAGTTTTAATTACTAGAATTTGGAACTTATGCAGTATCATGTGGCCACTTTCATTGGCTAACGATTTCTCACTTTGTCTAACCAGATGCTTTTGAAAGCTTTTTTTTTTTTAAAGTAAGGCAGTTAAATGTGGACAGATAGATTTTTGTTGTTGCTGTTCTGTAACTATAGTCACAATTTATCAACTTTCTTGAGTTCTGTAGCATCTATTTAGGAGCTGTAGTAAGGGTATTAAACATTTATGTGCATGAGTTCGACATGTTAACAGATTTCTACAGATGAACAGTTTATTTCAAGGAGGGAAAGGGGCCACTTGATTGAAGTTTCCTCCAAGCCTAATTTTCCATGAAGAATTTCCCTCATTTACTATAATTGTAAGCGTGAAGGCACAACTTCTTTATTTTTTATGAAATAACATAAGATGAATACCAAACACTAGCATTTAAATTTTTGCCTCTATTAAGTATTGCTAGTATAATTACATATTCTTGGATTTACAAATGCAACACATAAAAAATCTGACATTTAAAGCATTGGTATATATACCCTGGAATAGCTATTAAATTAATGTATTCCCTTACATAGTGATTAAAGAACAACTCAGATATTTTCTTTAATTTTCAGTTAAATAACTTTTTGTTGTTACTTAACGAAATAATCACATATACATAAGTTATCAGAGAGTTTCATTATAATTTGATAAGGCAGCTATGTTAAATCCATAATTTATTTTACTAAAGTATTTTGCAGAGTTCCTATTGTAGGGTAGGCAAAAAAGTGTACTTGTTTCTTTAACCCCTTTCTTAACAAACTTGAATAGTACATATTTCATTCCTCAGAGACTTTTGCAATAGACACCCCATCGGTGTAAGCTGCAAATAATGCATTCTCTTCATTAGAATATTTAGTCTTATGCAACCATGTGCTGTTCTGTTTATATTGCTGGAAGTCGGGAGAAAATGCTTTATAGGAAGGCATATTTATAAAGAATATTTAGGATGAGATAACTATTTTTGTCCATATGATAATAAGTATACACTGTCCCTGGTGTGTTTTAGAAAAACAAGAAAAGGTGTTTGGTAGATCTGTTAGTGTTGGGAGAAGTCCAGTCATATTGCTGTAATTAAAGGACCTTGGCTTAATAAAATGACTGCAACTATTGCTATAAACGTTTATATCTCATTGATTTTAAAGACAAGCAGTGAATGTATGTTATACTTTATAATTCTTCTCAGAAATTTAAGAATTGATGAAATGAGTCTATTCAAATTCAAAAGCTAAAATAAAGTTACTTTTTACTTTTATCCATTTCATTTACCATGAGTAACACACAAGATGTGAAAATGGTAATTAAGTTCTACCATTGTAATGCTACTTTCATAACTACGGATTCAAATCTGTTCTTTCCCTTCAAATACTGTCTCAGTTTTTTGAAGGACTAAAATCATGTATTTTAATCAGTAGAATAAATAGGCTTTTTAGAGGAATACATTAACAGACTTCACATGTGAAACATCCAAAAGTAAATGGAAACAAAGATCAAAGTTATTTGGAATGCTTTACCTTTCATTTGATCTTTGCATCCCCTTTAGAATTGAATATTATCCAGACTACGTAGATTAATCAAAACCAATACTTGGAAACATGTCCCTGTCTATACCTCAAAACTGTAATTACTATTTCTTTCAGCAGCAAATACAAATCAAACAAATCATTCAATTTTTTGCCATGATTGCTTAATAGATATTTATAGTGTAGCCAACCTTCATAGATAGGACTGAAATACTTTTATTGTTTTTACACAAATTATATCCATCTTGTTTTGGTCTTTGTTAATAGGTAAAACACAGGTGTATGGTGAGTTGACAATGCTGTAATTGGAGACAATCTCTTGACATTAATTATCACTGATGGCTTATCTCACCAAACAATATTTATTAAGTAACTTATTTGAGGACCAAGGCTATTATAATATCATATTCTTACAGGTCAGAGATAACATTATATAGAAGTTCTTGTAAACATTTGTTAAGTTCCTTCAAACACAAAACAAAACAATGCTGTTCAGTAAGGAAGTTTTAAAGAGACATTGTCCTTTCTTTTGTTACAAATAAAGAAAATGTGTGCTTACATGTAAGTGTCTTAAAATGTGATTGTTGTCCCATTAAAGACAATGGTTGACTGCTGGATACCAATGTGAATTAGAAATCTGACTGTTGTCATTTTCACTGAGATGGTTGGTAGCATTTTCGAGTCTAGATGGCATGGAGAAGTTGTTCCTATAACAGCCATGGGGAGGATGAAAAGGGCAACTGAGTGTTTCTTGGGCAATGGGGTTTGGCTGGAAAATGTTTCCAGGATTCTGTAATCCATATAAAATTTGATTGGCAGAATGAGATGCTTGTAGACACTGCCCATTGCAGTCTTCATGTAAGCCACTGTTTGAATTGATGATGCCCCTAGATGATCCCATGGGCACTTCCATCATGAGTGGGGGTAAAGACTGAGAACTGTTGAAGCTTGGTAGCCTTTCGGGAGTAGGTAAGACAAAAGGTTGTGGTCGCCAAAAATTAGTTGGACAAATCTTGTAACAGAAGGGCAGGTTTATATTGTGCAGGTATGTCTCTGGATAGGTCATTCCAAAGGAGCCTGGAGGTATGTGAAACGAAGGTGTAGGTGGAGAACAAGAAGGAGAAAGTAAGGTGTTCAGAGGAGAGGGAGCTCCTCCACTAGAGGTCGCTGGAGATGATCCACTGCTTCCACCTGTCAAAGACAAGTCAGTCAGTGAATAATGAACCTGATTTTCCCGGGGAACCAGTAATCATATCTATTGCCCTTTCTGTCCCATTCTTGGAGTGGTTTTCTTTGCAAGTTCACAGTTCTTTCAGCTTGGGAAAAGATATTTTTATTCCTCTAGCTGACTCTGAACATCGTAGCTCTAATACTGGCAGTTCTGCTACTGTGCATCACACACTGAACACTCACTATACTCAAGCTCTTTACATTTTATCCAACAGTTAGAGAAGCCCCATATATAATTCAGTCGATAATATATTACAAATAAAAATTAACCTTTTATTTTAAAAACTGCATATTGAACAAAATAATTTGTTGTCTGGGATTTTACAGATCTTTTCAGTGTAAAAATCAAGTAACTGTGAAAATAATTTTATTATTGAAAAAATATTAACAATAACTAATATTTTGTCTTATGTGAAAATCATAGATGGGGAGGTTTCCATTGTTCTTTTCTATCAAGAACTGAAGACAGTGTTTCAAGTTAAGAAGCATCAAGGTGAGAAGGAAAGTGTTTACTTTATGATATCCAAAGTCTTTTGTTGTTTAACACAGTGGTCCTCAACCTGTGAGTCATGACCCATTTGGGGGGAAGCATATCAGTCATTTATATTATAAATCATAACAATAGCAAAGCACAGTTATGAAGTGGCAATGAAATAATTTTGTGGTTGGGGATCACCACAATATGAGGAATTGTATTAAAGGGTCGCAGCATTAGGAAGGTTAAGAACCACTGGTTTAACAGATAATAAAATTTATATGGTACAGGACAATCTAGACTCTGACCTTTATTTTTGTAAATGTTTGAATTCAATCAATTATGTTTGACCATACTTGATGAAGTTGGGAGATTTTATTGATAATTTGGTTATTTTTCTTGGGTATATGTAAATATAAACATACACTAATATTTTATCAGCAGATTGACAAATACATGTAATAAATCAGTCAAAAGTTATTTTAAAAATGACTGCTCCTCTCCCATATGAGTGAACTCTTCACACTGTAAATGATGGAATTAACTATATTTTAAGTGATCAATTAATGATCACTTTTGTCTTTTTTGAAATTAGGTTATTTGGATATTTTAAAAGCATGCTGCCTAATGTTGTCAGTTGAATTATTCTAGTAAAACAACTGCTCATAGTTTTCTATACCACTCTTTAAATCACATCATTTCAACAAATGATTATATCTCATTTCTTCACATTACAATTACTTGTTATGGCATCATATAAAACTTAAGCATAATGTTGATATCTTGCTCCATAAAAATAATGTTAAGTAAATGTCCAAAGACAAGTGCACTTTAATGGGGTAAAGATGAATGGAGAAAGTTTTATGCTGTTTACAAATAAAATATTCTATTTATAGTTAAATATTTCAGAAATAAAGTTATAGATTATTTTACTAAAACACGTGTATTATCCAACTATGATGATGATGCTTTCATCAGGCAATGCACTGTCTGAGAAGAAGCAAATTACAAATATTTTTAGACATGATAATTAAATTGGTTTTGATGCAGTTACTGTATGGCTTCACTCATACGTGAAATATAAAGGTGATCTTATGACAACGGAGAATGTAATAATGGCTACCAGATACTGAGAAAAATAGGGGTCAAAAAGGGGATGAAGAATGTCAAGTCAGTGGCTTCTAAGTTATAGGGAGACCCTAGCAAGAAGTTGACATGTGCTACTGCACGGTAGAGAGACTATAGTTAATAGTATATTGTACTTTGGAAAACACTGCAATGGGTTTTGGAAGTTTTCACCATATAAAGGTAAAAAAGGCTTGAGGAGATAAATATAATTGAATGAGTCTAAATATTTTTAATGTATACATGAATAAAAACATCACATGGTACCCCACTAATACACTCAATTTTAATGTGTAAGTTAAAGCGGGTTTTTTTTCTATTTTAAAAAGTAGACAAAGCACCACATCCATGCTATATTTAGTTCATTTTGGGTTTTTGTATGCTGAGAGTTTCTTTCTTGGCTTATTAATCATAATTTCTTAATTATTACTCTCTGTTTGTAGTATTAATCTTTTACTTTCTGTTTCCTTTCAAGTAGTACTATGCCATACCCTGTATAAGAATTTATAATTGCATACTTGCGTTTATTTTTTCCTAGCTCCTCTACCATGCACATCATGAATTTTACTTTACATTCTATAAATTCTACCATGTGTTCAATGACTTTTTAAATAATGTGAAAATAAGAGCAAAGTATATATGAAAATAAACTAGATGTGATCATTTAGGGTTATTTTGATATTTACTTTTATTTTTTATATTTACTTCTCATGCAATACAAAGGTAAATTAGAACTAAGTAAAGGTAAAACAAATGAAATAATTCAAACATATAATAAAGATAAAAAATAACTTATATAGCTTATATATTTCCAAATTAGGCCACAAATGGGCCAAAGACACAATCCATGTATGATGTCATGATAAGAGTGTAAGATAATTCCATAAGCTAGATAAGCAGTAAATTCCACCAGCAACATAACTTTATTATCTCCCTTAGGTGTCAGTTTGTCTCTGTTTTTGCTTCTTACTTCCCCACATAGCAAATACATATTGCTTGTGAACACACATTTTCTGGCATATACTTATTCCTTTGTGTAGTATTTGGTAAAAGAATTATGGCTGTTGTTACTGCATTTATATGTAAAAATAAAACTGAAAGTTAAAAGTTTTCTTACTTTGTGTGTCGGCAACAAAGGTTTTAAAATCCATAGTGAAGGAAGGCCTCCATGGGTAGGTCTCTAAAAACCCATCCAATACACCCCTAAAAAAAGATATTTATTTTTCAGCAACTCCAGAAAACACTTAGTGAATATAATGATTCATATAAACCTGTTATATTTTATGAGCAATCATCTGAGCTATTATTTTCACTCACAGCTAGGATCTGAGTACATTTCTGTAAGCTCCACAAATCTATACTGCACAATATCTTACCACTGGCCAGGAGGTACAGTAGAAAAAGACATGGCATCCAAACATGCAGTTTCTTTCCTACCACCTACTATCCCTAAAAGTGTAAGCTTCTGACCCACAGTTATGTAATCCTTAGTACTCATAAAAGAGCTACATAAATACTCTGTATGATTGCAATTCTACTTACCTATTATTTCTAGTAGTTATTAAGGGGCTACACAAATATTAAATTGGAATGCTGCTTTACTTACCTGTTTCTCCCAGGATCTCTAAATCCTTTGGCAAAAGGATTCCTGTCTATTTTCAGTTTTGTAATCTATGAATTCAAAAGAAAGACATAGAGAAAAGTCCAGGCTGTGTTCTCAGCAACAGTCTTGCCATTATAATGTGGAAAAAATTCAAGCACACAGTTAAGTCAGATTTAAGATGATTGTTTCCTTTGCCTACTGGTCCCTTCTGCTATGATCTCCTGTTTAACAGAAGAACCGTATAACTTTCTATCAAATGACACTTGATAATGAAGTAAAACTATGAGTTTTCCCCCTCCATTGTTTACAATGTAACCCATACAATGCTGCTTGATTCTATCCCATATCCCACTGGGGCCACTCCCACTTCCTGAGGTCTAGACAGCTTTACCTGCTGGTTTTGGTAAGCTGTCACCGTAGTGAATTCAGTTTCTTCAAAGGAGAATGTTTGAATTCCTTCAGTAGGAAGGGACTGAATCAAGGACAGGTCAATCCTACAGTCCTGCTCCATCACGTGCACACGGGGTTTGTACTTATGCATGGACTGCAGAATGATCTAAGGGAAAAATGATTAGATACCATCTGAAATACCAACTTCTCCCCAACACCACACCCTGTTGATGATAACCCCCAGTGAAGACAACCCCCCCCCAAAAAAACCCCACTAGATAACAGTATGCAGGAAGGCTCAGATAACCACAAATTAGAACTTTGTTGTGGGCTTGGTCCCCAACAGAACCCCTCCTGGCTGAAGGCTTTCCAGAGGAAGGCACCATAGTGACACTGACACCATGTAGCAAATTTCATAGCCAGATTGGGGCCTTTCCTGCTTCCGAATGTGGTTGACCATGTGATGTGGATGTGTCATGAGTACCTGATCACCTGATATAAATTCTCTGGGCAGTAACTGATGGTACCAAATGTGGCTAGAAACCTGATACTCCCCACCTCCTAAGCCCGGTAGTTTCCTTCTCTCCTTTTGTGGCTGGCACAAGACTAGGTTGGCAGGGCACAGGCAGGAGTGTTCTAGGGAGAAGGCTCAAGATCCAGGAAACCTGAAAATAAGGAGGAACTGACTCCCATGACAGCACGTTGTGGAAACTGACAGTCTGGATTCTCATTTGCTGCCTTGCATCCTCCCACCACGCTGTATCAGAGGCACCGCTGTAACAAATGTGTGGACTCCAGGAAAGGCAAAAGCCCACAGTGTTGCCAGGGAAGGCAAGATGCCTGACAGTCCTGCGATGTGTGCCCTCCCACTCTCCACTATGGGACACCCTCTCTAGCTTAAACTTGTCTCTTCTTCGGGGTCTTTGGGCCCTCAAGTTCCCTGCACTCATTCCCCCCAGTCCAGCACTGTTAGATCACAGAGCTTGGAGGAGCGAGCCCTTTGTGGTCTCTGATTTACAAATCCAAGAGCTTGGTTTCCAAAACATTCAACACTTACAAAGAAGAATGCCCTCTTGAGGACTACCTCTGGCCTTGGCACCTACCTCCTCCAGGAGACAGATTGTGCTCACTTACATGGCCCTTGTCATCCATCTCATTATTGGTGAGTTTCACTCGATCAAAGGAGATGATTTGACGCATCCAGATTTCTCCTGAGCAAGGGGAGTCCGGATGGACGTAGAATCGGGGAGTGATGCACGAATGGTCAGTATTCCCGGCAACCATCCACTGTGAGCTGTGATACACATACCTGAGAGAATAAAAAAGAGCAAGGTGTGGTTTTAGGCTCAGCCAGCACAAAGCAGAGGGATGAGAGGCTTCGGAGTTCTCCACCTAAGAGCCTCACCAAAGATTAAAACGCTTATTCCAAAGGCCAGTAAATAAAGAGAAGCTCCAACTTCATTTTCAAAGAGCATTCAAGGGTAACAAACAAACAAACAGTAAGTAAGCATATGCCACGAAAATGCAAGGAAGTGTCCAGGTGAGTAAAAACAGCATGGGATATCTGTGTCTGGTATTTCCTCACAGAAACCGGAGCAGGAATCAGTCTGATTCCTTTTCCCACTGCAGGGATGCCTAAAAAAATCCACAAATGACAAGCAAGCAAGAAGCACGAGGAACAAAGCAGAAGGCTAAGCACTATGTCTGTTAAGCCCATGCTTAATAGTTTTAGTGAAAGCCCTTTCTTGCTCTGAACCCCTTTGCCAACTAAACTGCACATCAGAAAACTAAAGGAACTCCGTCTGCCTCGAGCGCCCTCGGCCTGATCCCCCCCCCTCCCCCAACTGTTTCCGATCTCAAACTGAGCATTCCCCAAAACAGCCTCAGTGCAAGCAGCTGCTTCTGTTTCCAGGCCAGCCAAGGAGGTTCCAACCAGCTGGTGAGTTGCACTTTCTTGCCTTGAGAAGAGGCTATGGTACTAGATGGCCTCTCTCCTAGGGCCAGGCACCAGGCGCGCCTCTGGGTTGATTGCACCCAGCTGACTTCGGGCTGCTTTCCCAGCACCCTCCCCTTCACTTCCAGAGGTCCCCGTCAAAGCATCAGCAGGGCAGTACCTTCTGTGCTGCTAGCTCAAAAGGTTCTTATCTTTATAACAGTTTGTCTGTCTTTGGTCCAGCCTCCTCAAGGTATTCAAGAAAAAAAAAAGAATAAAAGAATCGCGGCATTGTCTGACTATTCCTTTAGGCATATATCTAAAAGAGGGACAACATATGAGCAAAAGTCCAGCACTGACCCTAGGACCCTGCCACTAGATTTGGGCAATCATGACATCATTTGTGAACCTGCCCAGATTACAGCCTAATCCCAGAAGCCAGGGTCTGCTTTGAGCCTAAAGCATGTCTCTCTAAAGTTTTTCAAATTTCTTGCCTCTGCGAAGCCAGAGCATCCACACTTTACATATCTAAGGCACAAACAGCGGGTAGGCTTAGGGTACAGTAAGGAGCCCTTTGACATCAACTTCCATGAGGAGGAAGTAGGAAAGACCTGCTCTTCCTTCACTTTGAACCCAGATTCAAATGAGAAAATTGAACTATCTGAGTCCAAGGATGAGCAATCCTCTCTCCTCACTGGGCATACTTTTGTTCAAATCCTGCTGTCAGGTGCCAGGCTGCAGGACTGATGCTCTGAATCTGTGTCCTCAGCCTGTTTGGACCCTATCTACCAAGTTACCTATAACGTTTGGAATCCACTGGTTCCACATCCAAAATCACATAGTATTGCTTCACTGGGTCCATCCCTTTCACCTTGATCCGAACAGAAGGAAACATACGCCTGTGGGAAAGAAAATAGGGGTTTGGATGGAAAATAGAACCTGACATGGCAGATATGAGAGACGTTTTGAAGGAAGATGAGTTATGGACAAATACAGTACTCTTCCCTTTCCATGACGTGTTCAGGAAGTGGCATTTGGTACGTAAAAAAAAAAGATGGTTGATTGAAAAGCTCGAGATTGTCTAGTGGTGTCAACTATCTTTATGAAAAGTCTGCATCCATGACCTGCCACGTGACATTCAAAATGATAAGGACGGGAAAAGTTTTATTCCTTTCCTGTACTTTTAGTAGAGGAAGGGCATGAGAGGTACATTTGCAAAGGTTGAAGTTAGGAAGCCTAATGAGGAGGCTGCCCCACACCCAATGGCTAGCTGGTGGAAAGGCCGGCTTCCGGGTGGTCTGAGCCAGGGATGCTGTGCTGGAGGGCAGTGGCTGCAGTATTGTCTGCCACTATTTGCTAGGCTTGAACTGAGAGGCTGCCTACAGCAGTACGAAGTTAGGGAGAGGTCTGACCCTTGCCTGCCTGTACAGGTCTAGATTTTTGCCTACAGTACACAGGCAGGAGTTGGGAGAGTGAGTCTTTGGAGTGAGGACGTATCAGAAAATATGAGTAGTCTATTTAATGCAGCTAGGTACTTCCCGGAGGAACAAATTGAGTAGTTTGTGGCTTTAAGTCGTCTGCCAAAGAGTGAGGAGAGGGAGGAGTTTCCCATTACAAAACTGGCTTCTCCTCCTTAAGAGCCTACTGTGTGTGATTCAGGGAAATCACTGCCCCAGGCGAACCTGCCGGCCTTGGTAATGATCATCTCAGTCCCGATGTCGTGGAATCTCTTCCATAGGTCGGATCCCTGAAGCTCCACTTGGATAGTATTTTTTCCTTGCGGACTTTCCTGGCTGTTGCTCTCGCCGCCAGAGCAGGAGGAGAAAGCAGTTTTTGAAGATTCTGCCTTGGGTCGCTTTTCTGCTAGACACGGGGTTTGAGAGTTTGGCAGATTGCACACACTCTTTTGTCTGGAGACTATCTTTGAACTGTTAGACCTCTTCCTCCCTCCCAGAAACTTTAGAGTCTGACGCATAAGTTCCCCCACGAAACCCTTTGTGGTTTAGTAATGTAGAGAGGGTCCCAATTTGCATCGCACGAAAGGTGGCACCCTTAAAATTCTCTCACCCCTAAACTGCCAAAAGCTGAATCTAAAGCTAGATTTTCTTGGGAATTTGGGGAACACCCTGCTTCCTACTGAGAGGAAGAGTCAGGTCTGGCTCTTAGGATTTTGTAAGGGGTGTGTGACTCACTTCTCTAAAAGTGGGACCTTCCTTTTCATTGCAGACAAACCACAGCATTTCCAAGTGCGATTCAGACTCTCTGAAATTTGTACTCAAGTCAGGTGGCTAACTTGTTCCACAATCCACACCCTGACCTGCGGGACTGGGCCAGAACATCTTTGCCACAGCGCAACGAACGAGGCGAAGAAGATCCGATCCAGCCAGCGCCGGTGAAGCGCTTAAGGGAACCGGGCTGCTTGAGTGTACTCACCCGGCTGCTTGCAGTCCCCAGAAGCTCTGCTAGGTACCTCCTCCTCTTTCTGTGTGCCCCGCTCTTCCTGCAGCCCAGGCTGCATCTCCTCTCTTGAGTCTTGAGATTTTCTTTTGCTGGGTCTCCCCACCAAGGCCTCCACCGAGAAGGCGTGCGCTCGAGTGCTCAGAGCCATCCCTGGAGGGGAAGAAGTGAGTGTGCACTGCAAAGTTTCAACCTGAGCTGGGTTCGGGAGGGAGGGGGAGAGGGAGGGCGCAGATGAGAGGCAAGGGAGGAAAAGCTCACAGAAAAGAAGTCTTAGATCTGAAAACCAATTTTTGGATCCGCACTTTAACAAAAAAAAATTCCCCCCTCGTTATATATGAATGTATTTTTATTTAAATAGACAAAATAAAAGAGGAAGATTAAACTTGAGTCGAAATCCTACAAGGTGTAGTCTCCCTTCCTTTTTAGTTTTCCTCCCTCTCAGTGGACACGTGTGTACCATCAGTCCTCAAATCCTTGATTCTGGGACCTGCCAAAGCCCAGAGATTGACAAATGCTGGCCTTTTAGGGAACAGACCTGCCACCAATGGCGACTCACGCCAAAGCGATTGAGAGATACTGTTGCATCCAACTGAGTGAATACCCAGCCGGTCACAACCTCCACTGTTTGTTTTGGAAGCTGTTGAAACGTTAAAAAAAAAAACCGCTGTGAGTGACACTTTAGTCTGGTAGGGAGGAGAGACTGGGGGTTGGTTGGAGTGGGGCTCCAGATAGGCGGGAGGAAAGAGGAGAAGGAGACACAAGGTTACTGTTTTACATTAAATTGTAAAACGCTAAGACATGTGAAATAATTGCCCGCGAGGGGCCACTTTTCCAAGAAAGAGCAAATATTACTTAACCAGACTCAGATAAATATATCTAGGACTTTTTTTTTTGCTCTCCAGTGACACCACTGGAAACACAGGAGAGAGTGCAAGCTTTCTGGGCTATGCAGTTAGCACCTTACAAGGGCAGTGTAGGTAGATGTGCCCATACAACCTCTTTCTATTACTGGGGGGGGGTGTGGGGGGGGACTCAAGTAAAGAATTTCAAGAGTATCCTAGACACCATGATCAAAGAATAGAGCCAACCTGTGCCTTCTAGCCCTGCTTCTGCAGGACCTTCATACCCTGTTCAAATTCACACAACCCATCTGAGAACAGCAAACTGAGTAGAGAGTTACCAGCAGCACAAGGGAACCTTTGCTCCCAACAATGTGTTGAAAAATTAAAGTGCTTAACTATTAAGTAATTGGTTTTAGTGCCTTCTTACATATCTTCCTGAGTTGGGTTTTGCTTTTCTAAGTGAGTAACAACATTCTTTGTGTTCAGAAGAGACTATCATCATTTTCAAGGAGTGCTTTTGTCTGCAAATGTGACATGTTTGCTTTTGTGTCTGTCACTTGGTCACTCACTTTTTCTCGGACTCTTGCAAACAAAATCTAAGCTGGTGACATTTGAACATTTTAGGAAATTTTCTTCTCTTCTCCTTGGATATGTTTAGTCAAAGGGCATTCAAAGTCAATTCAAATCCAGTTACAATATAATGGAATTAGAATGAATGGATATTATCCCAATAGTGAATTTAAGAAAGAAAGACCTTCACAGCATTTCAATTTCAACTATGTAACTGCAAGCTTAGATTTTCCATGGGACAATTTTTAAAGCAGTGGTGGGTCATTCAGCTATGGGGAGGACATCTTTAGATAACTGAGTATAGGTTAAAGTACTCTAATGATGTTAGATGCCATGGCAAAGACTTCCTTGTAGTTTTAATGCTACTGAAGGGTATGATCGAGTATAGAGCTTGGAAGACAATTATCTTTATCCTGGGTATGCAGAGTTAAGCAAATAGGGCAAGGAGAATTTCAAGGTACAAAAAAAGTACTTGGGTTGAAAACATACAGGACTGGATATAATCTTTGCCACAACTCATGAACATTTCTTTAATCTATTAAAATCCAGAGGCAGAATATTTGTTATTCATTCTTACTCAGAATATATATATATATATATATATATATATATATATATATATATGTGTGTGTGTGTGTGTGTGTGTGTATGTGTGTGTGTATATATATATATATATATATATATATATATATATATACACAAATACTATTGTATGTTCTTATCTAAAAGGTACAGTTCAGAAACAGAAAAGACAAGAGTTTATTGGTTAACTTTAGTCTGCTAACAGCTGTAATAGCATTTCAATTATTTGTCTCCCTTGTCTTGGAATTTTCCTGCTTTTGAACCTGACTCATTTTGTTTCTCAGAGGCAGAGCACTGCTTTGTATAGCAAGAGGAAGCTTTGCTTAGTAGAGGTTTTGAAGAGATCTCTATAAAAGTTAGGTAAAGGATGTTTGTTACAATGTCAGCTCTAGTATTTCACGCTGTCTACCATGATATGATTTTCTTTAACCAAGGAAATAGCATATCTTGGAATATAAGTTCCTGTATTACAAGAAATGTCTTCCTTAATATTTATTATATGCATGTAATTTAGTCATCCAGAACTTTCGTATTTGTGTAACCTAAACCTTTCCTTTTCCCATTTTAGTAATTATCTGATGACATTACACTGACAAAAACGTAGCTCCGCTCTTGCTCAAGTTTGCTGGGTTAAGGTGCAAGTGATTCTTGTTACCCTGTATTTACAAGCATCAAGCATGTCAGAACCAGCTTTGCAATCTGCTGGGTTACTCATGCTCAGAGCTGCTGAGTCCTGGGGGCTTGAGGGACAATCCACTATGTATCCCTTATCCATACACAGAAGTCTCCTTTCTGTACACCCTAGGTTTACTCCAGGAACACAGACGATCCTTCAAAGCAGATTCTCTGTCATGGGGTGGCAGTGAAAAATGGAGAAAGAGGATTGTATACTTAAAGATAAATATTCATTAAAGGGCATATGATTTATTATAATTATTCTTGAATATGATATTTGTATTTAAAATATAGAAAAGTAATTTGTATCTCTACCAAACACTGTAATACCTTTTTAATAACGATAAACAGGTACATTATTAAAGTTTTTATGACACAAAGTATGAAAATGTTGTTTCTAGGTAAGTGTATGTACATGAAAAAAAACCTTATATTTAAGGGAACTAAGTCTACCTAGAGTAGTATCTTGGGTTCTGCAGTGCTTACTAACTAAAACTTTGATACCAAACTTATATGTGGAGATATTTCCACTCTCACTCTTCATTTGGAGATAATTATTTCAAATATATGTGATGTATATGTCTGTCTGTATTTTCATACAGATACTATATAATAAAGTTAGAACTTGGAGCCTGACTGGACATCTAATGTTACTCTTTAGCATAAGCATAAGCAATGTCTTGATGGAGATTGTTTCCTTCAATTGTTATTCTCTCTTTCCCTTGATTTTCACTCCGCTATATTATGATGTTTTTATGTAGTTACAACCTTGTAGACTGTGAATCAGACACAAGATCCTCCTCTTCATGACTTTATTTTTAGATCTAGAATGAACCCTTGAGAAAGCACAGCCAAGAATTGTCAGATATGGGCAGCCCCATCATATCATTTGAGTACCCAAATTCAACATTTTCTGTACTTGCTAAGTTGCATAAAACAGGAAGGCATCCTTGTTTGCTTAAGTGAGTTTCAGATGAATTTTCATCACTTACAGACAAAAGAAATCCTGAAAAAACTGTATTCACTTTGACAAGGTTTTTGGAAGATCACCCTGATACCAAGGTCTTCCTTTCCTCTTTCTTCTTTTACAACAAAAGGAGCTTTAGGGATAAGGAACTCATGAATTGTTGAATCTCTGAGGATTGTAAACTTCCAATACAAACTAGAATCTTTGGTGAGTAGTCTGAGTTTCTACCTGATCTCCCAGGAATATGATAATAAACAGGGATAAAGCTGAAGCTGTAACAAGACGGACTTTGGGTTAACATTGTTTTAATTCAGATTCTGACTGTACTACCTTCTGAGTGACTTACAGAAATCTTTTTGTTGGCATTAAATTAATTTCTTCCCAGGAATCTAAGACTTTCCATATAATACTGTCATCACAGACTATGTTTCTGTAAGAGAGTAGATCTATCAGAAGGTCAAGTAAAATAATTTCTGTAAACCACTTAGCCCAATGCCTAAATCAGGGTTCATACCTGTGTTCAACATTAAAGAGAAAAGAAGTTAATTTCAAGAATGTGTTAGTCTTTGTATCAGCTATACATCTGTAAATTGAGTCCACATCCTAGGAGAAGAGATCCAGGCCAATGTAAAAACCCACAACTTTTGGTGAAATCTTACATCAGATTCAAAAGATCAGCTATGTTAAGACTAATCATTCTTAAATTGTAAACTTTTTAAATAATTAGAATCAATGGATGAAATGAAAATACTACATTTGGGTTTCCAAAATCCATGGGAAATATGTCTAATAGAACACAAATTTGACTTCATTAACTTTGCTTTTGTAATAATATTTTTGGTATTCTATCAATGCAATGCAAGTGTATAGTCTCACATAATTAGATGGATTTGTAAATGATAAGCCAGTAACATATAACTGTGTTCTTACTCCAGGGATTTGAGGAAACTGCCCTAACAAATATTAAATAAATTCTCACAGTGGATCTTTCAGTTTCTGGTTTGCATTAATTTGGTATGATCTCTCAAGAACTTCTGTGAGCTTATTAGTCTAACAATTGAGTTAGGCTAGAATATGAGTTATGCATGGAAAACATGGTCATCATTGTTCCTAGGGAGAGTTAGAGAACAGAGAGAAGGGAGATAAGTTTTTATCCTTACTAGCTGTGTTCTTCTCGAGGGGACAGATGGAAACTTAGCTGAAGGAAAAGTTATTCTATTAAATTTAATTATGTTTTATTACTAACAAATACTGAAGGCTTTCTTATGATAATAGAACATTAGGCTTAGGCTCATTGTATTTCTAATACTCAAAGCCATATAACTCTTTTTTCACTTAACTCATCACTTAAAGTTACCAGATTTTCATAGCTTCTTGTTAGCACTTTTGTCCTCAGAACTCTAAGGATAATTTTATCCTTGAATAATTTCAGACAAAGTCAATGGATAAGAGAAAAGAATAAAATGAACACACAGGTTGCTCTATTATATAATTATCTGAGTAACTGCAAGAATAGGTATTGTCTGTTTACTTCAGCTCTTTCAGGCGTAGGGATGATGTACACAGTTAATAACTGTGTGTCTTACATCTTTCAGTCTTCACTCATTAAAACATCAAACTTGAATCAAATCTACACTTTTTAAGCTACCATTCTGTCTCTCTATTGGCACTATTACAATAACAAGTGCTGACTGTGTATATGTATCAAAACATCATCTTGAATGGAATGAGATCTACATGAACAGCCTGGACATGAGTGGGGGTAATGAAAGGCGAGGGTCGAGGGAAAGAGAGCTTGGGGGAGCGGGAGATCCCAGCTGGATCAACAACAGAGAGAGAGAACAAGGAATAGGAGACCATGGTAAATGAAGACCACATGAGAATAGGAAGAAGCAAAGTGCTAGAGAGGCCCACAGAAATCCACAAAGATACCCACACAACAGACTGCCGGCAATGGTCGAGAGACAGCCCGAACTGACCTACTCTGGTGATGGGATGGTCAAACAACCTAATTGATGTGCTAGAAACCTCATCCAACTACTGAGGGATCTGGATGCAGAGATCCATGACAAGGCCCTGGGTGGATCTCTGGGAGTCCAATTAGCGAGAATGAGGAGGGTTTATATGAGCGAGAATTGTTGAGACCAAGGTTGGATAAAGCACAGGGACAAATAGCCAAATGAATGGAAACACATGAACTATGAACCAATGGCTGGAGGGGTCCCCACTGGATCAGGCCCTCCGAATGGGTGAGACAGTTGATTGGCTTGATCTGTTTGGGAGGCATCCAGGCAGTGGGACCAGATCTTGTGCTCATTGCATGAGTTGGCTGTTTGAAACCTGGGGCCTATGCAGGATTGTTTGGCTCGGCCTGGGAGGAGGGGACTAGACCTACCTGGACTGAGTCTACCAGGTTGACCTCAGTCTGTGGCTGTGGAGAAGGCTTTGCCCTGGAGTAGATGGGAATGGGGGTGGGGGTGGGGGGAAGGTGAGGGGGATGGGAGGGGGGAGAACAAGGGAATCCGTGGCTGATATGTAGAACTGAATTGTATTGCAAAATAAATTAAAATTAAAAAAACATCATCTTGTATTCCAAAAATATGTACAACTGTTTTATTATTACAATATTGCTGTGTGAAGTCAAAGCTTAGGTCTTAGCATGTGCAGGGTCCTATGTTCAATCCTCAGCACATAAGTCAACAAGCAAACCAACAAAATTGCAGGGATATCAAAAATACGGCCAGCATAGGTCACTTGAAAAGGACTATACCAAGTTTATTCCAATAATGAATTATTGGAAGATATTGTGAAGAATCGTTTCAATTCTCTAAAGCTAGGGGAAAACATGCTTTTATAATTCTGTTCCACATACCTTTTCACCAAATGATTTTATATGCAAGCAACGTAGTCCAAACCCTGACTCCAAATCGGTGGCCCATGTTCCTCTTTGTCTAATCTAATCATGCATGAACCGGACCTGCCACAAAGAAGGAAACAGTCACACCATAGGCTGTAGTCTACCAAATCTTATGCCTTTCTAATCTCTAGAACTCCCTTTAGGTATTCTAGTATATTCTCACTCCTTAATGTATTACTCCACTCCATCATGCTTAAGGCAAGTGAATAAGGTGTAAGTGGATTCCTTCCATATCTCAATAATGATCTTCATTGGATTAGAGCTCAGCAATACCTAGCATCTACAACGGTGGGAGGATGAAGTGTTTCCCTTAAGTCTATCAAAATATTAAATGTAGGTAGACATCTACAGTGACTATGCTTAACGCTGAAGTTATGCTTACTTTTACCCACTGTCTTCCTTTATGAAGTTTTTACACAACTAGACAAGCATTCCTGCTTGAAGTAATTGTTCAAGTCAGAATATCCTAGGTACCAAAAACTGTCAGTAATAAAGCAATGAAGGTAATTATGGAGAGTTATGTCAAAGGAACCACTGAAAAGAAGCAAGAATATACTCTTTGTATTTACCAAATTGAATTCCTAGATAAAAAGAAGAGGAAGAAAGAGCAAAATTGATGGGTATGTATGTTAGAGTTGAAACTTTTGTGCTACAATATATACCCTGAAAACACTTCACTTGATTATTGCTGACTTAGAATATTTTTAAAAATTACCTTAGTCAATCATCTCAGTAAAATGACTGCCACTTCTCAAACCTCTGCCTTTGTGTCTCCAGCCTAACACATGACTCACATGACATTACCAATAAGGTTGTTAGATAGTTGGAATATTCAACTATGTATTTTATGATAGTGTATACATAATTCTTAAAATCATGTTTGCATATTGCTCATGGAGGGTGATTGTTTTTTAATTTTTCAATGCAGTTATGAAAATGACACTTTGATAAATAGTTGGATTATAGGATTCAATGTGCTAATATTTTAGTAAACATTAAAGCAATTGGTATCAATATTCAAAACTCATTTCAGATAGTGCTTCTAATCTATTTTATCACATGGACATGCATTTTGCAAATGTCAACCTGAACTAATGACTACTCAATATTTTATATCTTGGTTGTTAAACTTTCTTTTTCTTTGTCTATTTTATTTTCTTCTGTTACTGAAAATAATTTATTTTCTCATACAATATATCCTAATTACAGTTTCCCCTCCTTTTTCTCCTCCCAGTTCCTGCCCCACCCTTCCCATCCAGAGCCACTCCCTTTCTGTCCCTCATTAGAAAAGAACAGGTTTCTAAGACCTAAGAATAAAACATAACAATATAAAATATAGTAAGATAAGACAAAAACCACCACATTTAAGTGAGACAAGGTAAACCAACAGAAGGAAAAGAGCCCAAGAGAAGGCACAAGAATGAGAGACCTAGAAGTATCATAAATGCTAAACTGAATGATATAAATAGACCTTGGAATAAACAACTCTAGATGGGATATCTCCATCAAATCCCTCCCCTCAGAGCTCAGGGAGTCCCATGGAAGAGGAAGCAGAAAGAATTTAAGAGTCAGAGTGGATGGAGGACACCAGGAGAACAAGTATCCCTAAATCAATTAAGCAGGGCTCATATGAACTTAGAGACTGAAGCAGCAAGCACAGGGCCTGCATGGCTCTGCACCAGGTCCTCTGTGTATGTATCATGGTTGTTAAACTTCCACTCACTTACATTGGCAGGCATATACATTTTCATCCCTTCCTTGTCTAACAGCCATCTGTTGGACATCTCCCCTTGTCTCCTTAACTACAGTATTTCATTTTTAAAGATCTAGTAATGTTGTTGTTATTTTTAGTTTCATATATATATATATATATATGAAAGGGTGTGTATCTGTGTGTGGGTACCTACATGTGAGGGCAGGTGCCTGTGATGTCCAGCAGAGGAGGCTGAATCCATAGGGCTGGAGTTACAGGCAGTTGTGAGGTGCCTCAGTTGAGCGCTAGGAATAGAATTCAAGTGTTCTGAAAGAACAATAGTTGCTCTTAACTGCTGAGCCATTCCTCCAGCTCTGACTAGAATATTTCATTATGTTTTAATTCACCTTTACTTGTTTTGACAGAATAAAAAATTCTGAATAGCTATTTGTGTTTGTGTCTGTGTATTCTGTGAAAATTACTGCAGATTTTTACTCATAATTATGAAGATATCTACAAAGTGATATAAGCATTTTCTTCAGGGATGACTTCTTTCTTAACTGATGTTCTACCTACCTTTCATCATTATTTTGTTTTGGCATTATAAATATTTTAAAGTCAGTCTTGAATGAAATTTTATTTTATTTTATTTATGTATTTTATGTATGGGTGTTCTGTTTGCATGTATGCTTGCGTGCCAGAAGAGGGCACCAGATCCCATCATAGATGGTTGTGAGCCACTACATGGTTGCTGGGAATTGAACTCAGAAGCTCTAGGAGAGCAGCCAGTGCACTTAATTGCTGCGCCATATCTCTAGCCCCTGAATGAAACTTGTTTTTTAATGTGATGGTGTGTTTATCTAATGCAAATTTGCTGTCTTTTATGGCATTGTACTGATTAACTCAAATCACCACAGTAGAGGGAACAGGGGGTTCTGTAACATGCTTGAGAGGAATATCACAGTTTGAAGACTTTCAGTTTATCTCAAGTTCTCCAGAAGCAAGAAAGCAGACTTACGGATGTGGTACTCACAGACAGGATGCTCAGTGGGTCTCTATTCCTCTTCTTTATCCCTCATGGTCCCTTTCTGTATGCTTGCTTTTCTTTATCTCACTGATACCTGTTACTTATTTGAGGTTTCTCCTTCGTGTTTCTTTATGTCTCTTAATTTCTCTATCTCTCTATCTCTTTCTTTCTCATCTAGTGTAATTTATTTTTCATTTTTCACATTTCTTTTTTTCTGCCATTTTTCTGTACTCTTTGCTCTTTCAGTAACAGGCAGAAGAGCTGGGAATGAAGGAATGATTGTGCCAAATCTACAATAACTACTGTAATGTTCCTTTCACTATTACATATTTTCTACATTATCTTTTACTAGTCTGAATAAAAGTGTATTTGATGTGTATTCTTGTGTGGGGAGGATGGATATGTGTGTGTGGCTGCGTGTGTTACAATTGCTGTATCTGAACTCAAGATCTCTTGAGAGAAAACATGAACAAATAAAAGACATCCTTTGACAAACTCTGCTGCCCCTTGTGGATGCAAGTGCATACAAAGGGGCACAGAAAAAACCACACCCTTCTGGCTCAGCAAGCCAGGGCTCCTTAGGGAAGAGCCTGTGAAGAAGGCATCATTGCTCACAGACTGCCTCCAAGGTCACCTCTCAATATTAAGCACTCAGCTAACAGTCTTCCATGTCAGCCACAGTTCTCACTTTTTAGCAAGGCACAAGTATCTCTTCTCACACCTAGGCTCTCTAAACTTACTTTGGCATTCCTAACTTAACGGAAGAATAATCTCCTCTGCTTCAGCGCCTTCTGTCCCAGCCCAGAGGCTTCTCAGCTTTCCTAATGCTGTGACCCTTTAATACAGTTCCTCATGTTGTGGTGACCCCAACCATAAAATTGTTTCATTGCTACTTCATAACTATAATTTTGCTATTGTTCTGAATCGTGGTGTGATATTTTTGAAGATAAAAGTTTGCCCAAGGGCTCGCAACCCACAGGTTGATAACCACTGCTCTAGAAAGCAGTGATTTCAGGAAATCTGCCAGTTTCCAGGTGAAGGAATTTGACACCAAGTCTGACTTCAGCTGAATCATCCTAACCTGAAAGACTTGACTAATGATATCTAAGAGGGATGACAGAGCCTATAAAGAACACTTTTGCAGAAGGCACCCGAAAAAAAGCAACAGCCTGGTGAGAAAGGAGGGGGAATTTACCTGGTAGGCAAGAAGTAGCAGTGGGTCTCTGTGTGCTCATGATGGTAATGCCCGACGAGTCTCAGACTGAGCTCTTCCACTTCAAAGATGCCCACACTAGCTCTTCTGGGAGCCCAGAGGTCACTCTGCCTAGGGTCAAGGCACAAGTGAACTGCACAAGAGAACTTGCAGTTCTTTCCAGCATTGAGTGGGTGGAGCAAAATTTGTTACTTCCTAGAACTGACCTTGCTGGGACCTTCTTCCATGCAATTTCAACCTGCTTTGACTCAAGGTCAGCCATGAAAGCACAATGAGATGATTTCAGCCTCCAGGGCTTTGGGGGTGCTGGGAGGACATCCTCTCTGTGTCTCCCTTTGTATCCTTGCCTGGCTGTGCCCTTCTCTGAGCTTTAGGCTGACATACTTAGAGGAAAACGTAAGGGGGAGTAGTGCCTCCCAAGGACTGAACGAACAGAATAAGATGTGGATTGACTTTAAAATACAATGTTCTCATTTCTATCCTAAACATATGCATTTACAGCTGAAAATCTCTTTCAAGACTCAATCAATAGCAGTTTAGCAGCTTGACTCCAGACATCCTCTCTTCTTGCTGTTCAGCAAGCAAGCAACTTAATCACAGTGAGCCCAAGAAGGTGGCCTGGTGGGTCCTGTAACCTAGAAAGTGTGATGACTCTTAATGTCTCTTCAGTCTTCAGGTCCCCAGAACTCACAACCTTAAGTTTCTCTTTCAGTATATCTCAGAACATTGTTTCAATTTTTTTCCCTGTCAGATTTATCACCTCAGGACAACTAAGAATTGTAATGGACTATGGCCTAGAGCTGAGTGATCCACAGTGACTTCAACTACTTTTTCCTTTAGTTGGAGAAGCTCCCCAAGAAAACAGATTCTTGCTTAGTGTAGACTAACAGGGACAAACTTGGGCTCTCTTACTTCTATTTCTTATACTACTGGAAGCAGGACATTTCTTCAAGGAAGGAGGACAACTTCTGTCGTCTGGCATTTGGCTACACCACACCTGAATCCTGTGTCACTGTCAGAGTAAGAGGTCTCTTGAATAGAATCCCTGAATCAGGTAATGCAAGTTCATGGTCCTTAGATGGGATCTAGTGACCAAGGAGGGCTATTAATAGCTTTACCAAAATTAGGCACCAAATTGTGAGGATGGGATGCACAAAAGGTCTGTAAATGAATGCCTGAATTCTTAAAGTTTCCAATTCTGTCAGTCTCCAACAAATCTAAGATTTGTCTGAACTATTTCCTCTGACAATAATCAATATCTAAAGAGGAGTATAATACTTTCTAAACTAATTTTTTTATGATGTCTATTTCTCTTTTCCTCCAAGGAAAGTGTAAGGGGAGCTTTGCTTCCTGTTTGACTTTCCATGATTTTTTTTTCAATTTTAAGATGAAGTATCACTGTAAAAAAGTTCTAGCCATTTTCATAGGGAACTCAGAAACAAAATTTTAGAGTTCTTCCACAATTCCTAAAATGTGTGTGTGTGTGTGTGTGTGTGTGTGTGTGTGTGTGTGTGTGTGTATGTGTGTGTGTGTGTGTTGTGGAGCTTGTG